CTTACTTTCTTACTCTCTTGTGTTTTACTCTTTTACTCTTTTGTTTATTCAATAAGTAAATTACCATTTATAAAGATAAAGATAAAAGATAAAGAAGATAAAGAACAACTGGCCCTTAATTTTTTTAAAAATATTAAACTTTCAAAAATTAAAGTAAATGTTAAATATTATAAATCAAAAGATTTAAGAAAAAATATTTATTAAAATTACATTTTACAAAATATATTATAATAAAATTCATATTTTGATAACAGCCTGTTAGCACAATTAGTAATGAATTGAGAATAACGGAGAAATTTCTAGCTATCATTTACCTCGTTTGATTCTTGCGCGACATTCTTCATCTTATCTCTTGCCGCTTCCGCAGTCAGGCCGCGCGGATAATATTTCTTGTGCATGCCTGGCTTAACAGAACTGCCTACCAAGGTTACCGTGATGGGTACCGTGTTGTCGCACCACTCTAGCACGCCCGACCTCTGCGTCAGCGGCACTACTTTGTACGTTCTGATACGTAGATGCCGCCGTTGCGTCTCCTTACACGTGCACAGCAGAGTATTCATTACCGTGAACACTTGCTGCATAACTGCATCCTGCCGCAGGTCATCTTTCCCCTTGACCAATTGCCGGCGTTGTATACCATTGGTACCGACGCAGATAATCTTTTTAGGCATGTTCACGCCACCGACGAATTCGCAGGAATCTTGATATGATCTTACGCCGATTACATCGTCGTAATTGCCCGATGGTCTCACAGGTAGACTCATAGTTGGTAGAAGAACATTGTCCAAGTTCTTGATCTACAAAATCGATTGATTAGATATGGAATCATTGGATTTTGCGATCTATAATTATTATTCTTTCCAAAGAATTTTTTTATATTCTTTTGATTTAACATTCTTTTTAATTTTATATTCTTCAGAATCTAAATTATTTATACTGCTTTCCGAAAGCAATATAAATAATTTGAATGGATAGGACCTTGCTGTGTGTTCGTCTATAAGAATGTTGCTCAAGTGCAACTAATCAATTTAAAAAGTACCTTGGATATTGGCTGCTCTCGTGGTATCGCATAGCGTTTATTGGAGTAGCACTTGCCCTTGGGTTGCCAATAGGCAAGACTCAACAATGCCCGCGATAGGTTTTCCATTTCGTGAATGATTGTTCGCACAGAGGAGTCGATCAATCGGCTGAGAAGCTTCTTGGCGCCTAACACACGACGCTCTTCCTTCTTCGCATCTGTTGAATCCGATTCGTACTCGTCGTCGCTATGCAAGTTCTTCAGCGCCAGAACCACAGGCAATGTATGATATGGATGTTCCAGACTGCATCGTTCGAGGATCCGGAAGATTCGTGCGGAGAAGCCATACTGCTGCCTAATATCATTGTTTATGTGAGCAGCCAACTGAGGCACCAGCGGCACAAACTTGAATGAGGGTATGGTATCCAGTTCATCCAGTAGCTGTTCATTCACCTCATCGTCATACATGTTGTCCAGCCAGAGTGCCACCAGTCGGAAGATTAGCAGGTTATACTTCTCACTGCTACGCAGCGTCCTTAGATAGTATTTCAAAGCTTGCGCGAGATAATTACGCTTTTCCTGTTCGATGTTCTTCAACTCGGCCGCGTCGTTCGTCGATTGCCTTTGACTGATTATCACGGCGCGCTTGAAGTACTGATTGCTCATTTTCGCGTGGTCCACTTTATCCGTACTGCTACAAGCGTATTCCTTCAGTGCTTCGTATGTTGGCGAATTCATATACGTACTGATTTGTTGGTATTGTGTATCAGCAAAGCGCGCCAATGCAGCCTATAATGAAAAACACAAAGAATATACCAAGATAAATAAAATTCTTTCTACTGAGTTAATTGAGAATATAAATGCAATTTTATACATGTAACAAAAATAAAACTAAAGATTTAAGTAGAATAACTTCAAAGATACATTTGTAATGTTAATAATTTCAATAGAACGGAATTTAAAACTTTCGGAAATAAAAAAATAGTAAATGAAAATTTAAAAAATGAAGAGAAAAATAAAACTTATAGGTAATACAATGAAAATAACATAAAACAGCAAAATACAAATGGACATTAAGAGTTAACACTCGTTCAGTTATCACAGATCAGGGTGAGTTGCAATCATGACTTTGAATGTGAGAATTCTGGATTCTGAGAAAAATTATAATAAGCGAATTATGTTCGAGATACTTTACATAAATCGTCAATCCAATGGTCATG